GCAAGCGCAGGGACAGAGTCAAGCAGATTCGCAGGCCCCCACACACCCCTCCCGAATGAGAACCAGCAAAGTATTTGGATGTTGCGGAGGGACACATTCTCGATGCGCATAGTTAAGGAACCCCATCTTGAATCTGAATCTGGACGGCCGAGGAAACAGGTTCTCGCAATGGGACCAGAAGTTTGTCACACTTTCAAAATTTAGTCTCCAACAACTGTGGCTTCTTGGATTTAGCGTCTGGCTCATGCCTATTTCTGTGCTGGGCAGTTGCTGCACGCATGTCCATGTTGTGTTTGTGCATGTCTCAAAGTGCATGTGTGTGGGTGTCAAAGTGAGAGCGCCCCTCCCGATGGCCGGTGTGTGTTGGCTGTGACTGCGACAACGTGCGAGGGTCGGTGCTAAATGCTAACATTATTCTATCACCACGCCGTACGAGTAAAGCCCTGTTAGTACTATTTAATATCCATGCTTTGATTATAGCCAGTCTAATGATGAAAAGCCCTTCTAGTGCCAATAAACACCCACTTTCTGATAGCCATGTTTCATCACCCTTTTGTGAGCAAAGCCCGTATTAACGTCCCACCAAGAAACAACCGTGCGCATTTGTTCTTCCGCCGAACGGGCACCACCGGGTGGTTCAGCCTTTTGCGGGGTCGAGTTTGATATGTTTTAACCGAACCTCACCCCAGACCTTCCATGGGAAAAGGGCGCTCTTTGTTTAATAATTGTTTTTAAAGGAAACCAACTCCAAACAAACAAGAAACGGACACCGCTGGGTAATCTGGACACTCAGCACCCAGAGAGAATATATCTTCCCATTAGTCTTGGTCAAGGGGAATCCAACCCCGAAACGCCCAATCCAAACCATATGCTTGGAGGGATTAGTGGCTTTGAGGGCAAGGGATACCTTTGGGTAAGGGTCGACTGCTTGGCACTTGGCAAAGGCTCCTCGTGCACAGAGGCAAGAGGCTCGGGTCGAATGAGGGGCTACGCGCCCCTTTGTGGCCTCCATGCTATTCCGCAAAGGTGTACACATGGAGGCGTCTGCTTTTGGAATTCCCTGCGCGCCACAAGAGCTCATGTTGACACTGGACAAAAACAACACCAATGTGGGTACTTTGCCTGGCCACTTTTGGCGGTAGCAAGCAGACATTCCTGAGTGTGGCCCAAAGAAACTGCGCGTTTACCACGGTCCCAAGCAGTATGCAGTCCAGCAACTGGAGTGAGACTGGAAATACCGGTTTTGCCCAAGGCGCCCTCTTTGGAAACAAACGATGGCCATGGTAATTAAATTAGAACCAAACTGAAACCAGCCTTTTAGGGAGGGGCTCTCCCCCCAAAAAAAGATGGTGCCTTTTCCCCAGCCGAGGGGGAAATTTGGGGGAGGGCCCTCGGCGTCAGGAGCTGGTTGGGGACTTCTCCAGCCAGCATTTGGCATGGCCTGGAACAGGCCCCCCTGTTCCTCGGCGTGTTGAGCGCTCCTTGGCAGAGCAGTGGGACGTTCCGAGAAAGAAAGAAAGAAAGAGAGAAAAAGAGAAAGAGAGAAGAGAGAGTCTTCAAAAGCCCGAGGGTAGAAAATTGGTGTGGGTTCTGCATTTTCCTTTAGTTTTGCTAGGCCAAATGTTTGCAAATGAGCAGCGATTTTTAACAAATGAAAGGGTTTGTACAAAAAGGGAACTGCATGTACTTTGCGGAAGCGATCCTTGGGGCGTAGGCTCGCGTCGGCTTCAGCACGTACGCTGTTGTGTAACCCCTCGCATAGGCTTTTCTCGTAGGCGTTTGTTGAACAAATCATGACTCAGTGCTCTTTGCCAAGTAAGAAGGAATTTGCTTCTTTTGCCTTCCTTCTGTTTGTTCTGCAGTCTTCGCGTAGGCTCCGCGTAGGCCCTGCGTAGGCATTCACGTAGGCCAGGCTTTCAAGGCATTTTGGGCACGTAGACCATCGTAGACCTTTTCTAGCAGCCAGATCCTTGGACAGATGTGGGATTCTCACTTGTACTGCAATTCTGATCTTAGAGCCGGAGCTGCCAAAACTTGCCACAGTGCACTTCGACACTTGAACTCAACATTTCGCGTAGGCGTTCGTGTAGGCACCTGGAAGCTGACTTGTGCTCGCGTAGGCGCCCCTCGCAGGCCGCGTAGGTTTTTGTCGGCCTTCGCGTAGGCACGCAAGTAGTGTATAGGCCGCGAACCACAAAAAACACTGCTCACCTGGGGTCTTTGGCAGAACCCTGGCACTATTGGTGCGTGGGTGCAAACTTGGAAAACAATGTACACGGAGCCGACGCTAGGGCTAGGGGAACGTGGCTGATAACCACGGTTTGCCACTTGCCGTCCAATCGGCTGGACCCATCTTGTAACACCTTTCTGTATGTTCAAACACAGGAGACGGCAAAGTCAAACACTCAAGCAAGGGGGTTATGCTTTTGGGGGTCCAACAGGCAAAGCCTGACTGAGTGTGGATGGTTAGCGCTTAGCTTCATGGCAGGCCAGACGAACCCTGCAAGAGCACGAGATTCCCAAGGGCTCCAAGGAAACAACTGGTTTGTCCAGCACCCCCCCATTGTGACATCCCCAGGATAAATTTCACTACTTGGGAAAACTCAGGTCACGGAGGTCATTGCGCAGCTTGAGCAGCTCATGCAGGCGCGCCTTGCGACGCGTGGGAGGCGGTCTTTTGTTCTTTGCGTGTGTGGCGCGGTTGCGTGTGTGTTGCCTATCAGTTCTCTGGCATATACTGCCAGGACGTGAACGCTATGTTTGACTTGTGTTTGAATTTTAGTTGGGTAGAGGGTGCAGAGTTCTCACACTTACAGAGCCAGGATGGTGGAAGTTCCTGGGCTGCCTAGGGCTTCAAGAACCTGTAGACTTGTCGTACGTTTTCCAAAACTCCGTGGTTTGCACGTGTTATTCTCTGAGTAAGCATTGGTGTTAGATTAAAAAACAAGCCTTCAACATGGGCTTCTGAGGGCCACTTTGCCACGCGTGGCGTGCTGCCGTTGGTGTTCAACTGCCCAATCGTGGGAAAGCCGTGGCAACGTCGGATCCGCTGGTTTGAGCCGAAGCTCAGCTAGATTCAACATTGGTGAATTGACGAACTGATCACTACAATGTGCGTGCGCGCATGGTCCGTTGAACTCAGTATACTCAGTAGAATTATGGCTTAAAGGAAGAAAACATTGTGTTTCCCAAAAAGCACTGTGCTTTTTGTTATTGCTTCGGTTTTTGGAGCTCCTGGTGACCCTGGTACTTTCAAAACAAGACCCGAGCCCGCATTTTCCCAGACCTGGCAGGCAAAATGCAATAAACTGTGGCGCGCGCGGTATGACGAAGCGCGTCGGCTGCAGGCACGGCTGGGGGTCCTATTGATTGTTAGCAGGGAATGAGGGGAGGAAACCTTTAAACATGCTCAAAGGTTCCCTTACCAGCCCAAAAGACGCTTTTCAACCCTCCGCTTCTGCAAGTTATGTTTTGGACAATTCCAGCGTTTCCTGTAGGACATGATTTCCCGACACACACACAGAACATGGCCATCCACATTTGTGCTGTAGGTTGCGCGGCGGACGCGATCAAGGCTGCGCGCCGAGATGGGGGTATCCCCGCCCCCCCCGTCGATGGGGGGAGCCTTTGGTACCCAAGTTGTTGACATGGGCAACTGGCCCCTTCAGGTCTCAAAAAGCCCAAGCAGGGCCCAATTCTTTGTCAAAGCCCAACTTGTGTGTGTGCGTGGAATTCTCATATCAACTGGGCATCCTATAGGCCACACACCACTTGTTATCAACTTGCACCCTCGCATAGCTGACTAGCATTTCTCCTGGTGTTGGTTTCGTTTTCAAGATGGTTGCCTCACTTTAGGCTGCCCTTCGAAGCTAACATGATGTGGGGCAACCTCTTTGGCTTCCATTCCGCCAACAATCTATCTATCTACCTATCTATATGTTTCTCGATCTATCCATGTATCTCTCTATCTGTTGAATTATTTTTCTCTCTATCGGTTGATCAACCTATCTATCTATCTATCTGTTTGTCTATCTATCTATCTATCTGTTTATCTATCTATCTATCTATCTATTTATCTATATATCTATCTTATCTAATCTAACTATCTATCTATATATTTATCTATCTTTCTATCTATCTATCAATATGTCCATCCATTTGTCTGTCTATCTATCTATCTATCTATCTATCTATCTCCTTCTCTCTCGTTATTTATGCATCCATCCATCTATCTATCTATCTCCCTCTCTATCTCTCCATTGATCTATCTATCCATCCATCTATGTATCTTCTACTACTACTACTACTACTGCTACTACTACTACTACTACTACTCTACTACTACTACTACTACTATTACTACTACTACTACTACTGCTACTACTACTACTACTACTAACTCTACTACTACTACTGCTGCTGAATGTAATTTCTCTCTTGAAGGTTTCTTACTTGACTGCGCTTTTTGTCTGGCCTGGGAATTATGGTAATTGCAAGGCTTAGGCGGTTAATTGTTGTTGCATTCTTCTGCCCTTGTAGCTTGCCTTCGTTGTTGCAAAGCGAAGACAAATGTGCGGAGGGTCTAGTGAACTTTTTGAATTTCTCCAATGTTGGGAATATCGGTTTGAGTCACTAGCAACAATTCAGGGTTTTCTTCTATTTATCTTGTCAGCTAGCATCGCTTCGGTACTGATGGACAAATCCTGCAGTTGGTGGGGGGTTTGTCGCGATATTCATAGATTCATAGGGCTTCTTTCACCCAGCTGGTGCAAAGTGGATTTTGTCCACTCACAGATGGGGGCCATATTTTTTGCCCCGGCCTGTGTTGTGGGCCCGCTAACCACAGAGTGACGGGATGTCAAAGAACAGGTTGCGGTGTGATTTTTAGGGGATCCCCCCCAACAATATGAACACAATGTTCCTGTTGGTTTTCCTTCAAAACTCACATAAAAAGTTACCCTCAAAGAAAGACACCCGTTTGGGGTAGAAACACTCGCCAGGCGCGAACAAGGCGGGGGCCCGACTGGCGACGGCGGGGGTGAAGTGGGGCGATGGCACGGTGTTGTATTGTTGTTTCTCCCAAGTGGAAACCGGGAAAAGCCACCAAGTGAGTCCCTAAATGACCAATGTTGATAGGGAATCACCTTAGCGATTGGGGGACATAATGCCCAGCGAAATGATCTCCACCAAAGGGTCCCCAATTCAAATTCATACCCATTGGACGGATCTCAAACAGAGATTCATTCCTTATTCTTTCATATTGGTTTCCAGTTCTCGGACTGCAACACATTTGGACTTATGGCGCCAATCCGCGGTGAGAGGAAATCGCCCCTTAGACACCTTCACTCTTCTTGGTATGAGTGTTTCAGTGTTTGCCTTTGTGCTCTGTTCATGTTCGGTGGGTGCAAATTCCAGCACTTGCTGACACGCCCGCTCGGAAAGTAACGGAGCAGCACGTCTAGCCATGCGCGACCCACACCACTAAGCGCCCTAGCCATGTCACATTTAGCAGGAAGACAAGCCATGAAAAGCCATGAAAGCCGGTGGCCAACTGACTTTTTGCCCGTACCCGCAAAAGCATGGCATAAGCCCAGATATGCCGTGTTCGGCCCTCCTCCCCAAAGCGATCCGTGACGTGAGCCCTTCGACCAGGGTCGGGCTTAACACGTTTGTTTAAACACGTTGACCACCGCGTGGGTGTATACGTTTAAGCCGTTTAAACATGTCGGGGGCTCGCTGCTGGTCCAGACCTTCAACATCAACGTGGTCTCGGTGGATGGCAACGTGGGGGTCGTGGACATGAAGGCACGGAGCTGCGACGGGGGCGCTCCTCCGGGGTTTGCTACCCTTCCAAGGTCCCCCAGTAGTGCCCTTTCACTCGTTTTTTTAGGGGGAGGGTTCCCCTACTAAAATGGACGAAAGCAAAAAGAGTACCCTTATTCTAACCTCTCTACTGGAGGACCTAGCGTTGGTTGGCTTGGTTTGCTTTTGGCAGGGAATGAGATTTGGAACCCCTCGAAGAACCATCCATGGTTTGCCGGGTCTCAAGGGCAGGGAATGAGGCATGAGCTCTTGAGAAACCATCCGTTACCTATAGGGTTTCCTTCAAGAGAATCCGCAAACGGTTCATTCCCAACACCCGGTCTCGGTCATTCCCTACCTATCGACCCCGCAAGCTTGGCGGACGATCCATAGCGATCCGGACGAAAAGAGGTTCGCTGTTTATGGTTGCGCTGATTTTTGTTTGGAATCCGCAAAAGGGAGATTGTCTTTTTTTTTTGAATCCGCCTGTTTCATTTGCCTTGATGTTCAATTCATAAATGAGTCACAATCAGAACAAGATTAAGTTGGGTAAGTCGGGACAACCCCAGCCACTAATATGGGTGCGGATATCCGCCTTGTCGATTCGTCGCATGGTTGTGGCATTTCTTTCCGGGGTTTGATTGTCACCCAATTGGTTTCGTACATGGGCCGTTTTGTTCTTTCTTTCTTTTCTTTTTATGGAAAGAGCCGGATTCAAAAGTGTTCAAAGCTGGATTCTAGGATTGTTCCCCACAAGAGAAGTAGTGCACGCCGTTTGCTTCCAAGTATGAACGCGAATTGAACAGCCCCCGCACAATTCATGTATACCAACATTTGACCCATTGGAAGGGCAAAGGTAGGTAGATATTGCACATGGCTGCGGGTTCTTCGTTTTGCCGTACCCTTGGGGTTTGGCTGAGACAAAACCTGCAGAGTTCTTTAAAGGGTTTCGGTGTGGGGCCCGCGTGTGGGGACTGGCGGAGATACAGGCAGCCCTTGCAGCCATCCCCATCGATGCCTCTTGCATCCGACTTACCCACACGCTCCACGTAGAGAACACACACCAACATTTGGATAAACTATTAGGCATACACGAGTGTGTCTTGTTTTCGAGGATACCCCTTTTTGTGTGGTTTTCGAAGGAGAAGCAGAAAGACAACCGAAGCAATTGTTTGGACACCCCAACACAAAATACACACACTACATGAAGTGCTATAAATTTTGACGTTTGGACTTTTGTGTGGCACACCGAAAAAAATAGAACCCCGAAGGGAAGACCTTGACCAAACCTGCCCCCGACCTCGGGCAAGTTCTTTGGCCGAGTCCAGGCGCCAGGATCCGTCCCAATCCGTTTCCAGAATCCGTCAGGGGTTTTCTCGTTGCCGTGTTTTCTCGTTCGATGATTTTCCTCTAGGAAACACCAGTTGCTTCTCCTCATCCATGTTTCGTGTTCCAACTTCGCCTTTGCCCATCCGAAGAGGCCGACGGTGTCCACCCGGGGCAGTGCAACGGCGCGCAGTTCCAGAACAACGAGGGAGCCATCACCCTCGAGAGCGACAACAGCTGTGCCTCGCTGAGTCAAAACGATGGCTTCGATGTCGATGCAGTCTCCTGAACCTGAAAAAGATGGGGGGCCTTTCTTTCAAAAGAAAAGGAATGGCTTCAGTTTTGATTAGGGTCAGAAGGAGACTTAGTCAGCGTCATTCAGGGATCAAACGTTGCAGTCTGCTCAAAAACACATTGTCATGTGAATATGCGCCTGGAATTTGGGTGGCTACTATGACGACAGAATCAAACCTACTTAAGACACGTTTCATTTCGGATGCAGTGGGTCTGTCTCAAAATAGTGGCATTTTGTTGTGGGATGGTTTACAAGCAAACAAGGCCGCGGCTACATGTGTTCTACGGGTCCTGTTTCAGACGCAATGTTTTTTGTTTGACGTCAACAGAAAATCCTGGAAACCATCTATGATCTTTGGGGTTGCTGCATTCTGAGAGACAAGGGTATTGCGAGTCAGCATTGGGGACAATAATAATGAATATTGATATTCATAAATTTATGTTTTGCTTTTTCCCTCTAAACTACATGATCTGGTGACTTGCCAGGCGGCTTGTCGGATCTTCCTGGCTACGAGTACAACGTACAGTACTGCTCTGATCAGGACATGGCTGGTTTTCGGCCCAGTTCGTTTGAAAGCAGACGGCGCAACTCCAGAGATGGTATGTTTGCCTGTTGACCCCTGTCTTTCGCAGAGTAAAGAGACCGCAGAAAGCGATAAATTTCTTGGAGCTGCCCTTGGTGCGTTCTTCTTGTTGGGATGTTGTGGCCTTGGTGTCTTTTTGCGTCTTTGGATTTCCTTGGATGCTCTTCCTGGCCTTGGCGCTTGCGTCTTTTTTCCTCCCTTGTTCCTGGCCTCGGTTTGGCTTCCTCCCTTGGATTCAGCCTTGCCTTGGCTGTTGTTCGTCGCCATTTGTTTCCTCTTGGTTGTTGTTTTAGACGCCTTTGCTTCCTTGGATGTCGTTCGCGGCATTTGTTGCATGTCCCCCTGCAACCTGTTTCACTCTAATTTTAGGATGTTGAGGTGTTCCTGTCCAACTTCACTTCTTCAACCTTGTTTGAGGCAATGTTGGGGAATGTTCTGATGTGTGTTTTAACAACAAAAGGCAACATGGCATGGGCTATGTGGTTGCTTTCAGCCCCCCCGCCAAAAGAAAGCACGTCTATGGTTAACTTGGTGGTTTCACCAACCCCCGCCCCCACGACAACAACTGTAGATTTCAAGGGGTAGTTTACCCCCTAAACAAAGCACTCCCAGCACAAAAATTAATCAAGACAAGACACTCAAGGCGAAAGGCTGTGAATCACCATCCTGAAGTCGGTAGGGTGGGAGCCAGGACACCTTGGGGGGCCAAAAGTCAAACAAACACTTCTGAGGCTGACGGTTAGTTCATGCTTCGCTTTGGGCGAAGCCTCGAAGCCACTCTCGCCTTTTGTGTTGGGGAAAGCATGTTTTGTTGGTTGCTTTGAATAAGCAAAGACAACACCACAGCTGTTCTTGAGGGTATATTGTTTATTGGTTGCCTTGGGGAAGCAAAGAAAGTCATTTTGCAACCCATAGGACCGCCAAATCAAATTTTGGTCCATTGGTGCCCCGCCCCCCAACATTTTGTTAAGGACATTTGTTAGGGTTCCCCAATTGGACGTCCCATAGGACCACCTCATCGTGAACCTCGTGAAGCCTATCAACGTCCGGGCGGGGACCCCGACTCGGAAATGCACCCGAGGTTTTCGGAGGGCCGAGTGGCCAACCTCGGAGCGAGTTGTTTTTGCCTGGATCTTGTTTTGTTTAACACATTGATTGTTTGATTAAAAACACATTGTTCGGTTTAAACCACATCTTTCGGTCTTTCAGGTTCCCTCATTTGAGAGAGAGGCCAAGATTCGTTGATGCAGAGATATGTCTCTTCATTGTTTTTAGTGAAAGAACAGAAACCTTCAGGAACCATATAGTGAAACCCCGAAAAGCGATAGCTTCCCATTCGAACTGGTCCAACTTAGACTTAGGTGTTGCCTTTCGCTCATGGTGATGTTGGATAGATGGCTTAGGGGATTTGAAGCAGGGTAAGCTATCCCTTGGATCCAAATGATCAATGCTAAGCACTCGGAGAGCTGAAATCCTGTTGGTTCAGTGCCATTTTAAACTAGGGTCACCTTGTTTCAACCCCGATGCCCACGGTTTTAACTTAAACCCCGCAGAGTTCGAGCTACTCGTAGAAAACTGCTGCCATTGATTTCTTAGAAAGGCAACTGATGGAACCCCTTCAAACAAGAAAAGAGACCTGTCTGCTTATCTGCAGTGGCGACTGGCAGGCACTCGAGTTTGGTTTTTTCTTGGTGGGTAGCTTCAGTGCAGCAATACGTCAGCAGACATGCGGGGGAAGCTGCAAGTGTGTTGTCTGCACCCCCCAAGGTAGATCCTTTCCGTTTGTTTGAAACAATCATGGAAGCTGACGATCGGAAGGTCGGTAAGGCGAAGCTTTTTCAGGGGTCCCTAGATTTCCCTTTTTGGTGGTTTTAAACATCACTTTTTGGTCCATGAAAGGTGAGTAGCCCTTGGTGGGGGTGATGTTTTGAGGGGAAATCACTCGGGAGCCCTGTTTTTGTCCACTTCCCTTGGCGCCACCCTCGGGTCGTGCTGAAAAGCGCCCGGCAGGTGGTGCTGAACAGCCAGACCTGCGCGCCGGCGGGCGAGGTGTGAGGAGGCCTGGCGGTCTGGGCAGATCCAAACCTCACTACTTTGGCCATACCCGAAGCTGTGAATATACATCCATATTGGTAGGATATTCTGGAAGGGGGCTGGATTAGCATGTATCTATATATATATATAAGTACATAAATATGTTCAGTACAATTATCTATATATATATATACATCATGCATACGCAGCTTTGACCCATTTGGGGGAGTAGATGTGGGTAGATATTGTGTAGATTGAGTTTCTTGTGTTGTGACGGGATGTAAGCCAGAATTCCCGTCTGGCGTTCATTGGGGGCTCCTTGCAAATGTTACATTTCAAGGTTCGCTGAAAATGAGCCCACAATGAATCATCTCATTTTTTATTCGGAGTAAAACACTGAGGTAATTTAGGCCCCCTGCACTTTGTGATGGAGAAAAGGGAACACAACTCACCACAAAGGACAACCAACCAGCAACCAGCAGCAAGCACATGCAACAACAACCACACACACCACAATGTAGCACCTCAGCATTTCTGTTTCTGGACTTGAAGCCTTTTTGGGAATATCCTTTAAACTTTTGGTGGTGCCAAACAAGTTCTTAAGATTCTCTGCCCAATGGATGAAAGTGAGACACTGCGCGAGGTCCTCGCATTTGTCGCAGGCGCCACGAGGTTTTGCTAATGGCACTGGCCGGCTTGGTGCTGGTCCCTGAGCTGCGTTTTCCGCGTGGACCATTTCAGGGTAAAAGCCTTTTGACCGCTGTTTCAGCAAAAGGCGTTTGGAAGATTTGCGCCCCAAGGTGGTTTGTTGAGCTGGAAGGGGACGTTGCTCCTCTTGTCCAAAGGTCGAAAAGACTTTTGCCCTCCAATTCAAGAGTGCAACTTGGGGTCACGGTGGCTATGACTACTTGGCCCCGGCTGTCCACGTCAAGGAACATGCTCGGCTTGGCAGTCGCACGACCTGCGGTCACCTCCTGCGCGCACGATGCGCGCACGATGCGAGCTCGCGCTTGCGCGCGCGACTCATGCGAATTCTGGTTTGCGATGCTTGAAGAGCTGCGCCTTGGGATTACGGAAATGATTGGAATCGGGTTGCCCAAGTTACTTCATGTAGGACAATATGTGTGTAATTAGCTAATCCATGTTGATGCCTGTGAATCCATCGTATTGCATTTCCCCTTTTCAACAGCTTCAAGGCTACCATCCGAAACACAAAGCACACGCGCTAGGTCTGGCAATAGCTTCGGAGGCGTTATGCCGATGTCGGACCCAAAGGGGGAACCCCCACACCAACTCAAGCGCGCCTTGGGGAAGACTAGGCAAACGCTGGAGGTGTTTTTGGGGAGCAGGAGAAAGTTGTTGGACTGCACTGAACACCTCCCTTTCGGAACAATCCACTCAAGGATACCATCCACAGAATCCACGGATCTTAAGGGTCCTTGACTCAGTTGCCGTTTGAAGCGCGGGCGGCTTGATGTTTAACTTCCATTTGCTCATCTTGTTTAGTTTCCCTGGTTGTAAAGGGAACCCAACTTTGGTGAGTCCCCTGCAGTGTTGAGAGGTCGGGTATCTTGAGCCGTGGTTTCAGACATTTCTTAAAGGTGCCAGGCTCAAGCGGGTTGGCTAGACGAGGTTATAGGGTTCCTGAGGGTGTTTGTCGTTCCTGTGGGTTCCTGAAGTTTTGCTTCGGCTTTCCTTCCTCGGATTCAACTTTGCAGTTTCAGCTCATTCCCTGCCCTGCAGAACCTTTGACTCGGATCATGTCGTCGCTTAGACCTTTTGGAGTCTGTATGGGTGTCGCTTTGGAGATGCGTGCAGATCGCAAGGAGGAAACTCTTGTGACTTGTCTTAGACCTGGAGTCTTGACACTGTTGGCTTGTCTATTTCACCTACAACACCTGATTGACCTTTTGCTAGCTTGTCACATGGCGGCGGCTTGTTTTGCTTGGCTGCGCGGATGGGCGTTCAGCATGTGGAGGCGCCTTTGGAGAAGGGCGCTCTTCTGGTGCTCAGGGAATGACCTAGGGTTTGGGAATGAACCGTTTGGGGGTTCCCTTAAAGGAAGCCATATAGGAAACGGATGTTTTTCGGAAAGGTCAGTGCAATTCTCATTCCCTCCTATCGAACCCATTGAAAGTCACCCAAAACCATGTCGGCCGGGGCGTGTATCCTTGTTTCAGGCTCAGCCCCTTTGGTTTGTTTCAGAAGGAAGCAAAACGGAAGCCTGTTTGAGGGCTTGTCACGAGAACGTGTTACGGTGGTTTCCCCGACCAACGCTTTGAGCGCGAACCATCGATCTAGCCTAGCCTTAACTCTTACCGTAAGAACCCTTTAGGAAACACTATTTGGGGAGCATATATTTTGAACAGGCTGTCTTAAAGGAAAATGGAGCCCTCGAAATGCTGATTCAAAACGTTGTCTTCGATGCAACAGTCTCGCGCGAAATTGGGGTGCGCTCTCGCTGTGGCGCCGTGCGCATGTTGCGGCTTTTGCTGGCAGGGGCAATAGTTCTGGGTTCGCACTATGTTTTTTTCAGGAAGCCTCGCACCAAACACGTTTTTTGGAAGAAGAGTGCATTTTTAATGACAGGGGCTGGCCCGCCGAGGTTCGCACTACGATGCGGGGTGCGTTTGTTAGGAAGCCTGGTGCCAAACACGGTTTTTGAGAGCAAAGTGCGTTTGTTGATGGCAGCCCTACCCGATGGATCCTCTGCGGAGGTCATGCGGGTCGAAGAGTCGAAGCGCTCTCACTGCGTCGCCGTGCGATTATTCTGCTTTCTTTGCTTGTGAAGCGGCATTGCACGGTTCACACACCTGCTTTCATGATCGCGCGCGGTCTCGGGTTCCGCCTTGGCCCGTGCACCGGCTCGAACATCGCAGCTTTTAATTATGAAAGTATATTGTCACTTAGTGCGCGAAGTGCGCTCCCGCATCTCCAGCTGCAACATCGCAACTTCTCGGCGCAACAGTGCTAGGCGAAGTGTGCTTCCGCAGCCCAGCGCGAAATTCGCAAGGCTTGAGTGCAAAATGTAGCACGCGAAGCGCGCTCGCGCAAGCTCGGCTGAAAAAATCGCAAGGTTTAAGGGCAAAAAGGCAGCACGCGTGAAGCGGGCTCGCGCAGCTCGGCTGAAATACCCTTCTCCAGCATTGTCGGCAAGCGCAGAAGTAGTACGCGAAGAACCTCGCAGCTTCGCTCAAAAATCGCAACTTCTTAAGTACGCAGCTCTGAGTGAATAATAATAGCAAGTATCTACGTGCAAAAGTTGCGCGCGTCGTGCGCTTGAAAATCACGACTTTTAACGGACAGCGCTTGCATCTCCAGCTGGAAATCACAAATATATATATAGATATAGATATATATATATATGAAATGCAGAAAATCGCAACTTTAAAATGCAAGAGCAGCATGAGAATTACACTTCCGCATCTCCGGCTCGAAAATAGCTAAAGTAGCATGCGAAGTACACTGCCGCAAGTAAAGCTGCCAGCCTTCTTGCGAAGCCAAACTGCGCACAGATATGGACAAGAGAGATTGACAAGAGAAGCGGACATGGTTGGGCAAGATAGGTGCAGAGCATCACGCGCAAGAAGGAGCATCATGCGCAGCATCACGGGCAACAACACGCACAGCGCCACGTGCAGCATCATGTGCAACATCATGCGCAACATCACGCGCAACATCAGGCGCAGCTTAGCCCACAGCTTCAATCCACAGCATTGCGCGCAAAAGAAGTTGACAGGAGAGATTGTGAAGCATGATGCTAAGCACGCTCTCATCAGGACTTGACGACGCTTGGCTTGAGACGTTGACGTGTTTCCGTTTTGTTTCTCATCAGGCGAGGGAGGTGTCAGAGTTTATTTGACGTGTTTCTATGCTTCCGGGCCACCCGTCGTCAAAATAAGCCACGCCCAACACTATTTGGGGCCTCTAGCCGGGATAGATTTTGCGGAGTTTGTAGTTTGCTGTTTTGTTGGGAAAGCCGGGAACCCGAAGTTGGGGGTTCCAATCCAGAAGTCACTTTGCGGCGTGTTCTTTGTCGTGTTTTGCGCGTTTCGGGTTCGATTTGTTTGGGATGAACCCCTTTTGCTTGGAACAAGAAGCCGCAGGGAAGGTTTTTTTTGAGAAGAGTTTGCATGTGGGGGACCAATCCGGACAATGCCTGACTTGCGAAGGTCCTCAAACAAGGGTCTGAACCAAGTCCGCAGCGAGCCACGTGGAGTCTGTCTGTCGGGTGTATCTCTTCCTGGAGCTTCTATATAACAACCATGGTTTATCAGACCATCAAGTCGGTCTATCATGGGATTTCGTTGTTGGGAAACTACCATGCTTATAGGTTGTTTCGGGTTCCAGGTTGCGCGGGTTGCTTCCTAAGTGCGAAGCAGGCGAGTGCCGATCCTTGTCTTCCCACGAATATCCACCAGGCGTGGGTAGGTTAGACCACCGTTTTAGGGTTTGGGCCCCATGACAAGCCAAAGGACACGTTGGGGTCCTGTCTGTCAAAATAAGGGGTCCCCAGATTTCCCCACTCATGTTCCCTTGAAACTCTCCTAGGTAACCAAGGGGTCTCGCATTTGGCCCAGTCGAATGGCCAGGATGCCTTCGCCACCTTCATCGAGCCCGCGCTGCGCCAGTGACCGCGCTTCGGATTTCGGAGCCGATTTTGCGGCGGCAGACGTTCGTACGCGTTGCTCCTAGTAAAATTTGATGTCCCTGCAAGAGACCAAGGAAGAGGGGGGGCGTTTGCACCGTTTCGATTCTCTGAAACGCCCAGGGGGCCCCTGGAAACGGGAACCAAATGGCCGCGGGGTCGGCGAGCTGCTTCCGAGCAGCCGGTGGCAGTACCACGTCCTCCCGGGCGGCGGTGCGGTGCGGCTGCGCTGGGAGAAAGCCGCGGGGCGGTGGAAGCTGTGGGCGGAGGCCGGGGAGAGGCTGGTGCTGGAGGCGACCTTCGAAAGCCCCGAGCCGCAGTTGGAGTTGTACACGGAATCAACATATGTTGCTTCCCCCGCCTGGGCCTGTTGAAACATTGCAGAGCCCGCCGCCCGCCCACGCGCAACTCCAAGCCCGAATCGACCCTTGAGGCGTCCAAGCGCCAATGCCAGGTGTTGACACGGGAGACAGTGGAGGAGACAGAGCAGAAGGCGGAGATCCAGAAGGAGAAGCAGAACTTGCAGCCGCAGCTGGACGAGTCCAAGCGCCGCTATGAGCTGTTGACGCGGGAGAAAAAAGAGGAGACGCAAAAAGTCGAGTCCGCGCAGCATGAGATCAAGGCTTTGCAGCAGAGGATTGAATTGCAGACGGAGCAGCTTGAGATGGAGAAGCAGCAGGTGGAATGAGACTCTGCAGCAGAGGTTTGCCTTGCTGACCCAGAAGGCGCAGAAGTCAGAGATGACGAAGTGCATCTTGCAGCTGAAGGAGCAGTGCGATGCCTTCTTGGCACCCCAGCTAGAGTTGTGTTTTAAGAAAACAGGTATGGTCACTGCGGTCGTCAATGAGCCGTGTTTTCTCTCAAGTTGACATATTTTGGGAAGCGTTGGCTTTGAGCTTGGGGGTTCTGAAAGTGCCATCAATCCTGAAGCGCTTTAGGTTTTCCGTTCAATTGGAATGTCTTTACTGGCGCACCTGTTCCAGGGGCACCTAGTTTTTGAGGTGACTGTCATGTTTCAACTGACTTTGCCAAGGCCTTCAGCCGCTCCGACTCCAACGATCCTCAAGCTGAGGAAGGTCCAGGCCTGTTGGTTTCCAAACATTCTGCCATATTGACACTCATTGAAATCTGTCCAGAGCAAGTGTCAAAGGGTTCGTGCAGTCACTTGAGCACGGCTCAGGTGCAACCCCGGCTTCCGAAGTCAGACATGTACTCGGACACCAGCAGCCGCTCGGCCAAGTGCTTTTTGCCGAACACGGCTTTGCACGGCGTGGACGGCCACTTGTTGCGAGTGGAGAAGTTGAAGCTGGGAGACCGGGTGCGCCTGGTGGACCAGACCGAAGCCTCTGTGGCGGGCACGTGCATGCACCAGGCCAAGAAGAAGCCTCACGACTTGGGTTGACCTCACAACGCGCCAATCGCGGTCCACCGTGTCGAAATCCCACCGTGTCGCAGTTCCTGCGGAGGGGTCCGAAGGGACAAATTAGATTGGGCACGTTGATTCCGAAGGCGGGCCGCATCATGTTTGGACACTATAGGTCCCCGTGCGAAAGCATCCGTTCAAAGATGCATGCTACCACCTTGGCTCTCACAGAAAGTCAGGGTTCCCCTTGAGGAACTTGGTTTTGATGGCTTCAACAAATTTAGCCCTTCTCTTTGCATCGAATTTCAGGTCATTTGAGCAGCGGGACACCCCTGGCCACGTTAGGATGATCCACGTCTGGTTTAGAAAGTGACGGTAAGTAGGCACAACGAGGGCAGATTACTGTAGATTTGGCTGCGCTTTGGTTGGAGCCTCATCTTTTGACTCGGGAAAATGAGAGTTGCCCCCCTAACCAACAAAAGCCAATCGTGTTGCAAAAATCGAAGAGTGACCCAGTATCAATTTGATTAGCCATCGTATGCTCAAAGCCGCTAGGTTTTGGTCGGTTTGTTTGGTCAGGCGAAGCTTGCGAGTCGGAGCGCGCAGACCAGCTCGGCGTGGGCAACATGGTCTTTGTGGGCTGCAAGGGGCAGAAGTTGACCAAGGTCAGAAGCAGAAAGGATGGGATTCGCAGTTTCGGGCAGCCCGAAGAGCTGTTTGTCGCAACATGCTCGAACCCAAATTTCAACGACTTCTTTGACAATTGCAGTTTTGCTTTTGATTGCCAAGTTCTGGTCCGAAGCAATCCATATCCTTTCGTGGAAAACACACCATGTCGTTCAATTGTTTGTAGGACCCCTCTGTTTTGTTCAACTTCAAGGAACCCAGAACCCAGGACTTAGTTTCAATGAAGGAAGTAGATTGTTGAGCCTGTTTAAAACACTTGTCAGTTGGAGCTTGTAATATATAGATATATATATATACAATTATATATATATATAGATATATCTAGGCACAGGAATGTGGGAGGGCGTTCAGGTGCAGTTGGGCATTTGAATTTTCGGGGAGTGTTTCATCAATCGAAGGATCTTTTCAAGTGGCTTCCCTTAGTTCAGTATTTCTCAGCCAGGAAGACAAGGAGAAGAGAAACCGTTTCGTTCGCATGTCCGAAACGCGTTCCTTGTAGGAGCGCACGACCTTGTACGAGGTGAGGCTGGATCCCGATGGTCCGCTGGAAATGCTCCAACTTCCGAGTTTCGGCCTGGTGACCTTCGGTTCGCTCGCCGCTCGGTCCAGTGCCCCCAGCGCCATCGCGAGCATGGGCAGCGTAGCCGGGTCGGAGCCGGCGGATGCAGAGATGCCCGGCAGCGAAGCTGAGGGCTAGATTTCGAGATTTGATTTGGATCCTTGAGCTGTACAGAGCGGGCGTTGGTCATGGAATATCTCCTAACCTCCGTCAAACTGATGCTCTATAGGAATCTTGCTTTGCTTTGCCGGCGCCCCAAGCATGGATCCAGAGTTCTGTCGGCCAGGGAATGACGGCTCCCGTTCCGTGTTGACTTCTGCGAAGTGCTTCCAATCCAGCGGGAATCAAAGTCTGCAATTGGCCAGCTGGTTTTTTGAAAGCTGCCGAAGCGCTGCAATGATGCCAGAGAGAGAGATACAAAAAGGGCGCCGAGTGCAAATCCGAAGCCAGGTAGTGTTCAAGCCAAGGGGAGCCCTGTGCTTTTAGTCGCCGGCAATGGAAGAACTCCGAACTAATTCACCAGCCTATGGCAAGGACCCCAAAGCTGTCAGCAGTTTTGATGTCAAAAGTCCAGAGACTGGGTCAGAAAAGTCCCCCCCCCCCCCCCCGCGCCGATACCTCCGAGGCCGGGCGATGGAACGCGGCACAGTGCCTCGATGGAAGGCGAAGCCGAAAACATCGATGCAGGCGAGGTGGTCGAGGGCAAGACGCCCTGCCCTTTCTCCCTTGGAAACAATGTTTCCCTTTAGAATCAGCCAACAGCAAAGGTCCTCTTTTTTCTTTTTTCCTCGTCGCCACTAACCGATTATTTGGTTGGTTTTTTCATTTTGAGGCAAGCTTGAATGGATTTCGTTTGAGCCAATGTCAGGGTTGCTCTGAACCTCAGAGCAATGACCACGTTTGGATAGACAACTGGAAGTGAGTCCTTTCTTTCACCTCTTCCTGGCGTCGAGACCCATCTTCCCCTCACTTTGCCGGAAATGATAAATGAGCAGCGTCGTTGTTAGGAGCTGTTTTTGCAGGTTCTTGGCTCTTTGAAAGGTGCACGGCGAAGTGTGAACGAAACATTTCAGTTTTGGTGGGCCAAAGCTGAGGGAAGGCGTGTTAGCCCTCAGGCGGAGCAGTTCCGGCGATGACTTTGTCCATGACGTCTTTTTTCACAGGCTGTGGTTCTTTAGCCTTGGGAACCCTGGTTTTTAATGTCGCGCCAGGGCTCTTCCGGACTTCTCGCTTGCCCGGAGAGGCGTGGTGAAATGGGGCCGGGTACACGCCACTCTGTCATGTCATGAGAGTTTTGGAGGGCATGTCTCCAGAAACGGGACCCCCGGCCAAGCTTGCTGCGTGGGGAAATCAAAAGGACCAGACGGCTGCGTAGGGCTTGGGGCTAGATTTTTCGTTGTTAGCACTGAGCTGTTGGTGTTGGGTGTCAGGTGTTCCCCAGATGCCTTTGGGTCTTTTGGGAAGTAGCCAACTGCGAGCGCATTCAAAGGTTTCCATCGGCTTCATTCAAAGGTCCGAATCGTGGGGCCTAATTGGATGATGTGGTTTTGGATGGGTTTGTCTTCAAGGACAACCTGGAGAACCCTTCAAATGGCTTCTCGGTTTCCTTTTTTTTTGGTTTCAACCTGGAAACCAACCAAAAAGGGGTTCCACAAAGCACACCCATGTGGACTAGGACTGGTTGCGGGCCATGCTTCGGGCTTGCCGTTGGGTTAGCTGTTGGCTTGTTTGGCGGTTCGCGCATTTGCGCTCCTCCAAACCTGATAACTGATAATTCATGCCTCAGCCAGCCCTACAAATCCGCCACAAAGAACAGTTTTGACTGAGCCAGGCCTAGGGTGATTCAATGCCAGGCCATCCCTAACTGAGCTCGCAAGCGGAAGGCGGGTCTTCTGTATTTCCGTTTGTCAGTTTGCCAACAGAAAGCATCCATGACTCTTTGGAATGGTCAACTGAACTGTTTGTCCAAGAATTCAGTAGATTTGCCCGCATTTCCTGTTGTTTCGTTCGGGTGGCTTTGAATTTTCATGGCCTCGGAAGGCCGCGCTGGGAAAGCGGCGAAAGGCGGGGTCCCTCTGTTGGAGGCTGGCTTAGGCGAAAGACCTGTCGATGGTTGGTCGGCGTTTCTTGCTCGTTCTTGGTGAAGAAATGTGAACCAGTCTGCTGGCCCCTTATGGCCGTGTTTATGGGTGAGCGTTTCCTTTTTTTTGTGAGGCTCGGTACCTGTTGGTGTGGTTGAAAGGGAAAGGAACATGAACGCTGTGCAATGACTTGAAGCTTGATTTGGAAAACGGCGCAACTGGTCGCCTGAGCCCTGCACGGTCGGTGCCTGAGAGATGCCCTTTACAAGGCGGCCACAGCCGGCACCCGGGTCCAACAACTGGGCCATATTGAGCCTCCGGAGGAAATGGGTGGCGTTGCGGGGGGGAGAATGGGCACCAGTGGTAGGTTTTGATCCCCTAGATCTGCATAAATTTGGCATCCACCCCTACCTCACCACCAATCCAAACCGACAAGGCTGAAAACATGCAGCTAGAGGGCCGCAGGCGCCGTTTTCGTTGAGCCGAACCACGCGCCTTGTGCAGGTTCGCCACCACGAGATCAGGTGGCTGTACCTGGCAACGGCGAGTGGCGAGCCGAGGCAAGCGCTCGGGTGCTCACGTCAAACAGCACCTGAACAGAAATCCAGAGTCATCAAACACCAAACGGAAACTCATAATAAGTCAATGGGATTTGTTCCCCGAATGTGGTGCTCCAAGCAACCACGATGTTCTATTCAACCAATAGGACACATCGGGCGGTTGCGGTCGGAAACAAGCGAACGGCGGGTCCTGTCGGCTGCGCACTGGAACAATTCATTGGGCCTTCCGAAAGCGGTGACTGGAACAATTCACGGGGCCTTCTGAAAGCGGTGAAGGTTTCCTTTTTGAAAGCGTGGACATATAAAGCATGGCAACACAATACTACAAGGCAACATTTGCAGTATTTGATACAACAGTTCTCAAGTGGCACTCGTGTTTGGTTCCCTTCCAAGACATGATGACAACCAGAGCTTGGAACGTTTCATGGGATTCTTCTCGTTGCTGTTCTTTCGCGCCTTGCCTGTTGCCAACGGGGCTCCAGGACGCCTGGGGCGGCGGTTGTTTGTCGTAAGTTGCAGGTTGTTGTGGTCAAAACGACACCCCAAAACGGTTTCCGCGGTTTCCCATTGAAACACAGAGTCCTCCCTAGTAAGACTGCTAGATGTTTTGCCCAAACCGCAATGGCTCGATACCTCTTGCATCCTTTACAAACATCGCTCTTTTGACAAAGAGCACTGGCCTTTGTTGGGTCGGCTTGGGTGGTGTTCTGGAAAGACTCATTAGGAGAAACGTCCGTCCCCATTCTTTCCAAGCACAATCATTCCAGCCACACTCATTCTTTCCAGATTCTTTGCACACAAATATGTGTGTGTCTCGCGGTTTCGTGGTTGCTGGAAATAGTCGGGTCCCTGGAAAGCATGGTTGGAGGCTGGTTTCGTTACACGCCCAGTTGAATGCCGGATCCGGTTTGGACATCGCTCTATAGTTGTGTCCCAGTACCCAAGTTATTGTTTTGTGTTGATTTATAGTTCTATCCGATTCTATCCGTTGAGACGATTGGTGTCTCCAAACATATGCGTGTTTCAGCTTCATAAGCGAAACAGATAGATGCCACATTAAGAAAACACAGTCTCCAAGGAAGGAAGAAGAAAGGAGCTCCAAGGAGCAACTGGTTTGGTAGACCAAAGGAATAGATTCATTTCAATGGTAGCATAGGGTCCCTTTGGCCAGGGATTCATTTTTGAGGTCAATCAGTCCGCCTTGGAGCCACAGCTTCTCATCACATTGGATGCCATGTTGAGCCTATGGGAATTTCTTTTGGGTTCGGGATGGAAGCGTATCGTGAGAGGGTCAGAGCTACGGCCATGTCCAACGAAGCAGAAACAAACTTTAGCCAGCCAGAGGCCCAGCGGTCAGTTTTGGAAGGCCCAGCCGTTGGCCAGGCTTCCAGCTGCAAGCGCGCCCTGCGAGCGCCGTTTGGGTCGGTGGCCGCGGCCCCTGGCGCCTCAAACACTGAGCGGAGGGACACAGGGTGTCAGCCTCTGACAAAACACTTGGCACTCGGAAGCAAAAACTTTTGAAGTGTGTTTGTCACTTGTTGCGGCTGATGTTGGATTCTTGTTTTAGCAGCTTTCGGCTTCAGCAGTCTCAGAAGTTTCCGCCTTTTCGCCTCTCACACCGTCCCAAGCCATGGCCCCCTCGGAGCTCGTGTGGCAGGCGGTGGACAAGGGCGGCCGCCGAAGGCCTGGAGCTGCGCCACAAGGCGCCCTGCAGCCCCTGGGTTGAGGAGGACTTACCAGGAACACATCAAAGGTTCCACGAGGACGTCAAGAAGGGCAAAAAGATTCCTCCCGTCCTTGTATCCTTCATGGACAACACCAACAAGGAATGCAAAGCCTATTATCGGCAATGGGCTCCGACTGCCTGCAGGGACATGACTCGGCCCCACCGGATTGGAGAGGCAGTCAAGTGCAAGGGCATCTTCGATGAGAACCTCTCCAAAGATTCACAGGTGCCATTGGAGTTTGAAACGGCACGGTATGCTCTCTACAGAAACTGGGCTCGCGCGGTGCAGCAGCAGCCGGGGAGACCCGTGGCCGGAGCGGACTTTGGCAGGACCTGGACCCCAACAAAAGGAAGGCGTCCAACTGGCGATTCGCTGATGTGATGCACGTGCCGGATGAGGCTTGCAAGCAGTGCAAAGTCATGAATCCCGTCGGCGCTATGAACTGTTTTCAGTGCGACCTCCTCGCCGAGCGCGTGCCGGTTATCAAGAAAATCGTTCGGGTGATCAGGCTGCAGGAGATGGCGAATTCCCTTGGCGTCCCTTTGTCGGATCCATGGACCAAGTCGAAACACAGATTTTGACCCAACGCAAAGATGCAAGGGGCGACCGTAGCGCGCGAGGAGGGCTCGGGATTATGAAGGACATCGCGAAAAAGGCCGTGCTCAGGAACAAGGAGTACGGCACTTTGTACGAGCGTCTCATCAATGATCCCTTCTACGCATACACGGCCGCTCGGGGAGACCTGCTCTCGAGTTCATTGAGAAGGTTGCACGTTGCATCATTCCCAGCTTTGAACGAACAAGGGAGATGATCCAGGGGAGCGTTTCCGTGCCCAAGTATTGCGCACGGCTAACGCTGGTGCCGCCGCAGGAGGATGTTCAGGAAGTCGACCCGAAGAGCGTCAACGTGGTCCACGGTGGAATATTCCTGGAAACAGAACAATTCGCGGCGCTCTACGGCAGCCTGGAGAAGGATGAGAGGCACCCGGTCATGGGATGGAGCAAAGACTTCACCTCCGTTGGCGACCCGGAGACCGTCCGCGTCGAGCTCCTCTGCTTCGTCGAGGGCGAAATTCCGATGGTTCAGATCCCCGGTCGTGCTGCTCCTCTTCCTGCTGTTGTCGGGGTGGCGTACAAACCCATCCCTCAGCTACGGGAGACCGGTAGCCAGTGGCAAGGTTGGCAGTGGAACCAACCCTACTGGAAAAGCTGGGATCAGTCCTGGGATTCCTGGTGGTCTGATGAGCAGCGCCTATGGAAGAGCTCCCGGAACTGGAGCTGGCGCTGAGTCCAAAAGGGATCATTCTTTCGTCTTCGGCTGACACCCAATTGCATGTCAAATTTCCAATCTATTATACTTATTGTATCATGTTGGCCGAAGATCATTGTACAGGAATGGGCACTGCCTCGCGAAAGCGATGGCCAGCAGAGGCGGAAGACCTTAACTGGCCGTTGCTTGTGTACAAAGTGCTCGTTGCCTGGAAATGACCTCATGCCGCTTGGGTTTCTTTGGTTGTGTTCATCCCTTACATTTGTCCTCCTGTTTCATTATTGGGCACGGGGGGTGTAGTTTGCAACGTGATGTATTTATCAACCTCAATAACCCCAATTTCATGAGTGTCTCACTAGCGTAGCTCCGTTATACCCGCTACGCATGGCTCAAGAAAAGCGCGCTTATCGCAGGGTTGAATGTTGACTCTTCTAGGTTGTTTAACCTGTTCTATAGAAACAAAGAGCCCCCCCCCTGCAAGACTAGTAGATATTTTGACCGAACCGCCATGGCTGGATACCTCTTGCATGCTTTGCAACCATTGCTCTTTTACAAAATACACCAGCATAGACCCCAGATAGCACACTACGGCTACGAACCATGGCGCAGCATCACAACGGTTCCGGCGGCATCGTGCTGATGTTGACAACATCTTGATGATGTTGACAGCATCATGAGGATACCACAGCTACTCAGCATAGTGCGCTAGATAGACGCGCAGACAACGTCCTAGTGAGTTCAGCGTTGAGAGGATGATGCTGACACACCAGCCACGAACGATTCCACGCTACATATCTAGCAGAGAGACGACGTCCTGATGAGTTCGACAGCATCATGATGATGCGGGCAGCATCATGATGATGCTCACAGCATCATGGTGATGGTAAAAGCAGCATCATGATGATACCACAGCCACGAATCATCTTGCGACAGTGCAATGCAATTCAGCATCAGCAGCATCATGACGCGGTTGACAACATCATGATGACACACCAGCGGCCAGCATCATGATGCTGCGGCCAGCATCATGATGATGCGACAACCACGATGCCCCAAACAGCACCCGCCCTACCACCCTGCCATCCATATGCGCCCGCGCCGTCACCAACACCCCAAAACAGCAGCCCCAACAGCACCCCAACGCAGCACACGCGCCAGCGCCGGACACGTCCCCAAGCACCCTGCCGTCACGTACTGTCACCAGCAGCACCCCAAAACCGCACCTGAGCCAGTACCCCAAGCCGTCGATCTTGCAAAAGAATCCCCCTTCTTCGTTAGAAGTTAGCACCCCTATGGTTTCCAGCTATCTGGGAAATAAGCGCCCACGCAGTCAGCAGCACCTCCAACAGCAACCCAAAAAGGCACCTGCACCACCGCCCCAAACTGCATGCCCCCTAGCACCCGCCGGTAATGTCCGAAAATTGTGCCCACAACGTCAGCAGCACCTCAAACAACACCCCAAAACAGCTGCATCAGCTCCCCAAACTGCATGCGGGCATCAATCTTGCAAGAATGCGCCTGCGCCATCACCAGCACCTCAAACAGCACCCCAAACTGCATGCCCACTGGCACCCGGCCATCAAGCTCGCGAAACAGCACCTCCACTAGCACCCCAAATTACATGCCCCCTAGCACCCGGCCGTCAATCTCGCAAAGCGGCACCTCCACCAGCACCCGAAACTACATGACCCCTAGCACCCGGCCGTCAATCTCGCAGAACAGCACCTCCACCAATGCCTCAAACTGCATGCCCCCTAGCACCCGGCCGTCAAGCTCGCAAAACAGCACCTCCACCAGCGCCCCAAACTGCATGCCCCCAGCACCCGGCCCTCAATCTCGCAAATCACTTTCCCTTCTTTATTAGAAGTTAGAACCCCTATAGCTTTCAGCTATCTGGGGAAAGAACTCTGGCCTTGGGTCGGCTTTGGTGTTTTTCTGGAGAGACTCATTGGGGGAAACGTCCGTCCCCATTCTTTCCAACCAAGAATGCTTCCAGCCACACTCATTCCTTCCAAATTCTTTGCACACAAATATGTGTGTCTAGTGGTTTCGTGCTTACTGGACATAGTCGGGTCCCTGGAAAGAATGGTTGGAGACTCCAGAGCCTGGTTTCGGCGACAAGCCCAGTTTAATTCGGGATCCGGCTTGGACATCGCCCTTTAGTTTAGTTCCACTACCCAGGTTTAATCATTATTGGTGATAGTTATATCGGATATCGGATTCCACATTAAGAAAGAACAGTCTCCAAGGAAGGAACAAGAAAGGAACTCCAAAGACCAACTGGTTTGATAGCCAAAGGAACAGATTCATTTGAACAACATGTACTGACCAAAACCCATGGTAAGCATAGGATCCCTTTGACCGGTGATTCATTTTTATGCCCACCCAAGAGCCAAAGTTCAGTGCGCAGGATGCCATGTTGAGTGTGTCAGACTTTCTTTTGGTTCGGAATAGAAGCGTATCGTGAAAAGGTCAAGCACAAATTCTTCATGAGCCAGAAGCCCCCCCCTCCACCCGGCCTCAAGGCTTCCAGCTGCAAGAAAACAGGGCACGCCCCTGGCGCACAAGCGCTGAGCTGAGGGACACAGGGTGTCAGTCTCTGGCAAACACTTGGTACTCGGAAGCTGTTTTGTTTCTGAATGTTTGGCTTTTGCATATCAATGTCACTCTCTGCGGTTGGCTTTTGAGCAGATTTCAGCATGACCAGTCTCAGAAGTCAAGTGCAACTTTGAAGTGCTTATTGCGGATCAGCTTGAAGTCGCCTGATTTTGGATTTGGCTTGCCAAAATTTCGGTCTCAAAAGTCTGACAAGTCTCAGCCTTCCGCCTCTCACGTCCCAAGCCATGGCCCCCTCGGAGCTCGCGTGGCAGGCGGAGGACGAGGGCGGCTTCCGCTCCACGGCGCCGTGGCTGGCGAGCGGCGCCGAAGGCCTGGAGCTGCGCCTTCGGGTGCCACCCTCCGGGGTTCAGCTCCGCGAGCTGCCGCCTGGGGCGGCGCCGCGGACCGTGGCGGCGGTCAACTTCGACCCGGACAGCTGCCGCCGGGTCGGCGAGCTGCTTCCGAGCAGCCGGTGGCAGCACCACGTCCTCCCGGGCGGCGGCGTGGTGCGGCTGTGCTGGGAGAAAGCCGCGGGGCGGTGGAAGCTGTGGGTGGAGGCGGGCGGGGAGAGGCTGGTGCTGCAGGAAGCGACCTTCAACACCCCTGAGCCGCAGTTGGAGTTGCGCGCGCATTCAAGATATGTGGACCACTTCGATGTCTGCTTGCTTCCCCTGCCCGGGCCTGGCTTGCAGAGCCCGCCGCCTGCCTGTGCGCAACTCCAAGCCCGAATCGACCAGCTCACGGCGGAGCTTGAGGAGTCCAAGCGCCAATGCCAAGTGTTGGCGCGCGAGAAAGCGGAGGAGGCAGAGCAGAAGGCAGAGATCCAGCAAGAGAAGCAGAACTTGCAGCAGCAGCTGGACGGGTTGACGGTTGAAAAGGCAGAGGAGATGAAGAAAGTCGAGGCTTTGCAGCGTGAGAATGAGGCCCTTCAGCAGATTGTGTTGACTCCGGAGGTGCAGAAGTCAGGGGAACGCATCTTGAAGCTCAAGGAGGATTGCGACGATGTGTTGGCGCGCAAATAAATCGCCGTATGGGAATGACAGTCCAAGGGGGCCTCGCGGCAACACAATATATTTTAACGCCTCCGGCTCAGGCCGCCGACATTACAGGCCTGCTTTCTTACTTGCGTCCCTTTGGAATTGTCCCCTTGCCCCCTTCCCCTCTGAGATTTTTGCCCCCCTTTCTTTGTTGAGATCCATTCCCCCTTTCCGCCCTAAGGCCTTTTCTCCGTCTGATTTTTTCCCTTTTCCTCCCTAAGATGTTTTCCCCCCTCTCCCTGTTGAGATCCTTTCCCCCCTTTCCCCCCTAAGGCCTTTTCCTCCCTGAGATCTTCTCCCTTTTCCTCCCTTTCCCCCACTTTCCCCCCTACAGCCTTTTCCTCCCTGTGATCTTTTCCCTTTCCTCCCTGAGATCTTTCCCCCCCCTTTCCCTGTTGAGATCCTTTCCCCCCTTTCCCCCCTACGGCCTTTCCCCCCGCTGAGATCTTCTCCCTATTCCTCCTTATCCTTTGCCCCCTTTCCCTGTTGAGATCCTTTCCCCCTTCCCTTTAAGGCCTTTCCAGATCTTCTCCCTTTTCCTTCCTAAGATTGTTTCCCCCCTTTCCCTGTTGAGATCCTTCCCACCTTTTCCCCCCTCAGGCCTTTCCCCCCCCCTGAGAGCTTCTCCCTTTTCCTTCCTTAGATCTTTCCCCCCTTTCCCTGTTGGCCTTTTTTCCCCCAGATCTTCTCCCTTTCCTCCCTAAGATCTTTTCCACCCCTTTCCCTGTTGAGCCCTTTCCCCCCTAAGGCCTTTGCCCCCAGATCTTCTCCCTTTCCTCCCTAAGATCTTTCCCCCCCTTTCCCTGCTCAGATCCTTTCCCCCTTTCCCCCCTAAGGCCTTTCCCCCCCTGAGATCTTCTCCCTTTTCCTCCCTAAGATCTTTTGCCACCTTTCCCTGTTGAGATCCATTCCCCCTTTCCCCCCTAAGGCCCTTTCTCCCTCTGAGTTGTTCCCTTTTCCTCCCTACGATGTTTTCCCCCCTCTCCCTGTGAGATCCTTTCCCTCCTTTCCCCCCTAAGGCCTTTCCCCCCCCTGAGATCTTCTCCCTTGTCCTCCCCAAGATCTTTTCCCTTGGTTGAGATCCTTTCCCCCCCTTTCCCCCCAAGATCTTCTCCCTTTTCCTCCCTAGGATCCTCTCCCACCTTTCCCTGTTGAGCTCCTTTCCCCCTTTTCCCCCTAAGGCCTTTTCAGATCTTCTCCCTTTTCCTCCCGAAGATCCTTTGCCCCCTTTCCCTGTTGAAATCCTTTCCCCCTTTCCCCCCTAAGGCCTTTTCTTTGCCTGGGATCTTCTCCCTTTCCTCACTGAGATCTTTGCCCCCCTTTCCCTGTTGAGATCCTTTCCCTCCTTTCCTTCCTAAGGCCTTTCCCCCCGCTGAGATCTTCTCCCTATCCTTAAGATCCTTTGCCCCCTTTCCCCGTTGAGATCCTTTCCCTTCTTCCCTGTAAGGCCTTTCCAGATCTTTTCCCTTTTCCTTCCTAAGATTGGTTCCCCCCTTTCCCTGTTGAGATCCTTCCCACCCTTTCCCGCCTAAGGCCTTTCCCCCCCTGAGAGCTTCTCCATTTTCCTTCCTTAGATCTTTCCCCCCTTTCCCTGTTGGCCTTTTTTCCACCAGATCTTCTCCCTTTCCTCCCTAAGATCTTTTCCACCCCTTTCCCTGTTGAGATCATTTCTCCCCTTTCCCCTCTAAGGCCTTTGTCCCCAGATCTTCTCCCTTTCCTCCCTAAGATCTTTCCCCCCCCCCCTTTCCCTGCTGAGATCCTTTTCCCCCTTTCCCCCCTAAGGCCTTTCCCCCCCCTGAGAGCTTCTCCCTTTTCCTTCCTAAGATCTTTTCCCCCCTTTCCCTGTTGGGCTTTCCCCCCTAAGTCCTTTTCTCCCAGATCGTCTCCCTTTCCTCCCTAAGATCTTCCCCCCCCTTTCCTCCTTAAGATCTTTCCCACCCTTTCCCTGTTGAGATCCTTTCCCCCCTTTCCCTCCCAAGGCCTTTCCCCCCCCTGAGAGCTTCTCCCTTTTCCTTCCTAAGATCTTTTCCCCCCTTTCCCTGTTGGGCTTTCCCCCCTAAGTCCTTTTCTCCCAGATCTTCTCCCTTTCCTCCCTAAGATCTTCCCCCCCCCTTTCCTTCCTAAGATTGTTTCCCCCCTTTCCCTGTTGAGATCCTTCCCACCCTTTCCCCCTGAGGTCTTTCCCCCCCTGAGAGCTTCTCCCTTTTCCTTCCGTAGATCTTCCCCACCTTTCCCTGTTGGCCTTTTTTCTCCCAGATCTTCTCCCTTTCCTCCCTAAGATCTTTTCCACCCCTTTCCCTGTTGAGATCATTTCTCCCCTTTCCCCCCTAAGGCCTGTGCCCCCAGATCTTCTCCCTTTCCTCCCTAAGATCTTTCCCCCCCTTTCCCTGCTCAGATCCTTTCCCCCCTTTCCCCCCTAAGGCCTTTCCCCCCCTGAGATCTTCTCCCTTTTCCTCCCTAAGATCCTTTGCCCCCTTTCCCTGTTGAGATCCTTTCCCCCCTTTCCCCCCTAAGGCCTTCCCCCCCCTGAGATCTTCTCCCTTGTCCTCCCCAAGATCTTTTCCCTTGGTTGAGATCCTTTCCCCCTTTCCCCCCGAGATCTTCTCCCTTTTCCTCCCTAGGATCTTCTCCCACCTTTCCCTGTTGAGCTCCTTTCCCCCTTTTCCCCCTAAGGCCTTTTCAGATCTTCTCCATTTTCCTCCCTAAGATTCTTTGCCCCCTTTCCCTGTTGAGATCCTTTCCCCCTTTCCCCCCTAAGGCCTTTTCCCTGCCTGGGACTTTCTCCCTTGCCTCACTGAGATCTTTCCCCCCTTTCCCTGTTGAGATCCTTTCCCCCCTTTCCCCCTTACGGCCTTTCCCCCCGCTGAGATCTTCTCCCTATTCCTCCTTAAGATCCTTTGCCCCCTTTCCCTGTTGAGATCCTTTCCCCCCTTCCCTTTAAGGCCTTTCCAGATCTTCTCCCTTTTCCTTCCTAAGATTGTTTCCCCCCTTTCCCTGTTGAGATCCTTCCCACCCTTTCCCCCCTCAGGCCTTTCCCCCCCCTGAGAGCTTCTCCCTTTTCCTTCCTTAGATCTTTCCCCCCTTTCCCTGTTGGCCTTTTTTCCCCCAGATCTTCTCCCTTTCCTCCCTAAGATCTTTTCCACCTTTCCCTGTTGAGATCATTTCTCCCCTTTCCCCCCTAAGGCCTTTGACCCCAGATCTTCTGCCTTTCCTCCCTAAGATCTTTTCCCCCCCCCCTCTTTCCCTGCTGAGATCCTTTTCCCCCTTTCCCCCCTAAGGCCTTTCCCCCCCCTGAGAGCTTCTCCCTTTTCCTTCCTAAATCTTTTCCCCCCTTTCCCTGTTGGGCTTTGCCCCCTAAGCCCTTTTCTCCAAGATCTCCTCCCTTTCCTCCCTAAGATCTTCCCCCCCCCCTTTCCTCCCTAAGATCTTTCCCACCCTTTCCCTGTTGAGATCCTTTCCCCCCTTTCCCTCCCAAGGCCTTTCCCCCCCTGGGAGCTTCTCCCTTTTCCTAAGATCTTTTCCCTTCTTTCCCTGTTGGCCTTTTTTCCCTAAGATCTTTTCCACCCCTTTCCCTGTTGAGATCATTTCTCCCCTTTCCCCCCTAAGGCCTTTTTGCCCCAGATCTTCTGCCTTTCCTCCCTAAGATCTTTCCCCCGCCCAGTTCCCTGTTGAGATCATTTATTTCCCCCCTTTTCCTTCTAAGGCCTTTTCCCACCCTCAGTTCTTCTCCCTTTTCCTCCCAAAGATCTTTCCACCCCTTTCCTCCCTAAGTCCTTTTCCCTGAGTTCGTCTCCCTTTGCCTCCCTAAGATCTTTCCCGCTTAAGATCCTTTCCCCCGTTTCCCCCCTAAGGCCTTTTCCCCCCAAGATCTCCACCCTTCTCTTCCCAAAGTCTTTTTCCCCCTTTCCCGTTTGAGATCCTGTCCCCCCCCCCCCCCGCAATAGTCTGAAATGGTGCCCCTGGGGAGGGGTTAGGGGAGGGGTAACAGGTAAAGAGGTAAGGAGCATTTTTTGTGTCCAACACGCCGTCTGTTGTCGGCGGATTTCTTTATGCGCCGCTAAGTTCCATTGTTAGCTCGTTTCAACAAATGCTCGAGGCCCATCCGCCACACCTTGGGATACTAACCAACCGGACATATCATGTTATGAATGACATACTGGTGGTTGCACAATATAGAGACGCTATTACCGGCCAGCTACTCCAAGGGCATGTAGTTGTATCCCAACATGTGAGAGTCAGCTGTGGAAACGCGATGTGCCACTTCTGTTGGACGAGGCCTTCATCCACCCGGACAACACGAGCCATTCTCGAGATGAAGCTCCAGGCCCGCTGGTTGCCAAACAAAAATGTTGAAATCCATCACTGCAACTGTTCAGAGTCCGGCTTACCAGCAATCGTTGAAGCATGTGGGGTACCTGGCCTCAGGCGCAACCCCGGTCCTCAACAATGTCACGGACTCCTTCTCTCTTGTTGGAGATGAATCAGATGTTCAGTCCGCCAGTGATGAGAGCAATGTGACCAACTCCTATATTCTTGTTAACGCTGGAGATCACTTAGATGTACAGTGCATCAGCGATGCGAGCAGCCGATCGGCAAAATGCTTTTTACCCAACACGGCCCTGCCGGGAGCGGACGGCCACTTGCTGCGCGTGGAGAAGCTGAGGATCGGCGACCGTGTGCGCCTGCGCGACCTGACTGACGCCAAGGTGGCTGGCATCAAGGCGCACCGCAAGAGGCCCTACGAGTTGGTGGAGCTCACCACGCGCCAGGGGCGCTTCACAGTGTCCAAGGATTATCGCGTGGCAGTGCCTGGGCCAGGTGGGGCACGCGTAAGGGCAAATTGCAGTTGGGACACGCCTCTTCGCCGATACGTCCTTTGTCCCATAGGCCATAGGGGAGACCTGCCACATTTGCCTCCACTCATTGATTGCCGCATGAAGTTTGCGAGGGTTCTTTGGGGTTTCCTCTGTCGTTGTGTGGTTTTGAGTCTCTGGGAGGTGCTTTGGGCGTTGGGTTGTTCGTCCAATTTTCTGTTACCATTCTGACATGAAAGAACATATCCGGTGGGTCAGTGCAGCTAGTTTCGAGCGCATTGCAGGCTGCCAGGGAGCCCAACGTGCAGATCAGCTGAGTGAGGGTGACCTGGTCGTTGTGGGTGGGAAAAACCAGAAGCTCACCAAGGTCTCCCACCTGCAGGATTTTGCGCTTGAGCTCTTGATAGCCCCTGCTTTCAGCCTCCTACACAAATATAACATTTCCCTCTGGGAAAGTCTTTGTACACTGGCGGTCCCCTTTTTCATGGGCTCCATGCTAGTTGCGACGCCCCGCATCTTGACACCCTGCGCAATCAGAGTTTGGACATAGGACGGTTCACGTGAATTTCGAGGGAGCAGAGTGCCAGGAGTGCACAGTCTTCTACGAGGTGGCGTTCGAGGAGGATCAATCTGTGGAGATGTTTCACATTGAGAGCTATGGCTTGGTAACCTTGGCTCAGTAGTCGCAGCCAAGAGCGCTGCCAGCGCATCGGACAGACCTCTTCCAGCTCTGGAGCACACTGGCCCGCAACTGAATTTGCAAGGCCCCTCGAGGTTGTAGCTCCGAGCTTGGAGGGCGTTGGCAAGGGATTGTTGTTTGCTCACCGCTCAAGTGTCAAAAGTTGATGCTGAAGCTTCAGTCGAAATCAGGCCCTTTCCCAACGCCCAAGCAGGTGGCTGCAGGATGTCGGCCTCCGCTAAGGAGTTGAGCTCCACCAGTCTCAAACCCAGCGGGGATCCAGTACAGTGTCCTGAGTCCTGCGGCCAGCTGAAGCTTTCAATTCTGTCAAACATTGCGAAGACTGTGCTACGGTAGAAACAGATGCTGCGGCCGCCTGGCGTTCTGCCCATGGTGGAGAATAGTACTCGTATTGTTAACAATTATGCGGAATATCTG